TGACTTGCCCTCTTCCATCGAGATGCACTCTTTCACCACCGCTAATTTCAGAAGATGCTCTCTTGTTTCTAAGTGCAGCTTCAGCCAACAGGTTCATGCCGTAATCAGACATCGTATCTTGCTAATTATTAACTTCACATTACCAATGTATGCACTTTTCAAAGAAACACAGAGTATGGTAACTATAAAATATATGCACATATGATAGTACATACATAGAAATATACCCAGAATCTGTGCAACAATGTAAATGTCTGTAATAGATTCATTTGGCATTGGTAGGACCCCACTGGCCCACCCTCCGGGCACCCAGGCCCCAGGGGCCAGGTAAGGGGTGGGACTGAGCCACTGAGGGGTCCTTTCAAGAGTATTTTGATTTCAGATTTTTGTATACACATATTGTCGCGACAAATCCAATCCAGTTCGAGGCTAAAAATCAGTCCGCCAGCCCTGAGCGTCCTGAGAACTCAACTACGAACCAATAGTGGTCCTAATTTCTCAAGGGCCACTACCATCAGGATGAACAGGCTCTGGATTTCAAGTGACACTACTATCAGACACTAAATCTTGAATAATCACTCTAGAATATTGGCTCTGACCTTATATAACGACCACTACAAACAGGTCTTGACTATTGAAGAACCACTAGTAGCAAATTTACATTACCAAGGACCACTGAAATTAGGCCCTAAGTTTTAAACACGACTAAGGTCAGACCCTGACTTTTCAAGTGCCACTAAAGCACTTCCAAGGGCTACTAGATTTACTAGAATCAGGCCCTCATTCAGACGACAAGCATATTTTTGACTAACCAAACCCGATTATTTTATAGAACCCCCAAGCGGCAGCCACTGATCCAGGCTGAGCCAGCCCTCGGACAATATTAGTACTGTTAGTCACTTATGTATTGTATGTAGTACATAATACAAATATCCTAATCTGCCAATGATCGCGCGAAATAAATATTAGAAAATACATATGCGATACACGCCTAATAACCGATAAATTGATACATAATGTACTGTGCATTTTGCGATCTTATATTCTGTTTTTTTAAATTTTTTACTTGTATTGTACATGCAGTTAATGTGCGTCAGTGTACTGGGGTCTGGGAGAGGAATATACTCTCTTGTTGGATTACACTTAACATCACAAACGCGCGCACACGTACACCATCAACACTGGAAGTAGCTAGTTATCACGATATTTTCCATCCAGTATGCTCTCCTCTTCAGCAGGAACGAAGGAGCTAACAAAGGCTGTTGCAGCCGGGGATGCCAAGAAGATCAACAAGATCTTGAAGATTGATAAGAAGGTTAGCAAGCGCGAGTTCGTTTTGTTTGACGATTTATGTCCTCCTCAACTGAATGTGACATATCTTTCACCTCCGCATTGACCAGCTCTATCATTCCTTTTCTTTTGTATAGGGCGTCACAAAAGGCGATAAGATAAAAGCCAAAGGTTTAAATATTGAGTGTCGGGACGTTGAGGGAAAGACACTACTGATGAAGGCAGTCATGATACAAAATATCAAATGTGTCCAGGCTTTAATTTACTGTTCTGCAATAGTGAACGCTAGAGATATAGATGGGAATACTCCATTACACTTATCTTGTGAAGGAGCAGAATGTGACGCCCGTATAATACAGGAACTCGTCGACGCACATGCTGACGTCGACAGTCGCAATAGAGTCGGAGAAACTCCACTGCACAAGGTATATATGTATAGAGTCCAAGTCCAGATTCAAGACGAATATAAACCAGACGAGACAAGTGCCAAACTAAAATTGTGTCAAATGTACATGGCACGTGTAGAAATACATATGAACACTGAATGTGAGTCATGGCACTATACAAACATATACGCATACGAACGCATACATACATACATACATACACAAACATACACATACGAATATATATACACGTATACCCTCACACACATATATATACATATACATGTGTACACGCATACACGTGTACAAAAGCACACACGTACATACACAACCACAAGCACGCACGAACGCACGCATACACAAATACACCCCTGTGTGTCACATACACATACACACATCATACACAGACATACATAAACATATAGATATAGATATATATATAAATGTATTGACACATGCACGCATGCATGCAAGTATTCATACATTAACACATGCATATATATATTCCATATATATACATATATATATAAATATATATATATATATATATACATATATATATATGTGTGTGTGTGTGTATCTGTGTGTGTGTGTGTGTGTT